CTTTCCGGATGAGAGGATGCATGGAAAGGGAAAATATTTTCTTTCTGTGCATCATCTCCTCCGTCGATTATAGGTAGTCAACACATATGTAATTGCGTATGTCTATGGGCAACAGTCACTTCGCTATTTCAGCGATTTCAGGTGGCCGCTCGCTCGTTTCCCACCTTTTGTTATTATATAAAAAAAATTGTGTAGCTTTTTGATAAGTTTTACTTTTGTGTAGTTTATTAAAATTGTTACTTTTGTTATGATATTGTAATTTTACATGCATTTTAAGCCACTTCTAAAAAGAGCTATGTATTACACAATTATACGTACCATTTATGCTTTTAATACATTGTTTTAAATTACGTCAACAATCAAAACAAATCAATCCAGTAAATGTTCGAATAGAAAAAGATTTTTATCATGTATTCGTATCTTATATTTTGATGTAAGTACGATATATCACATGGTGACTTGTGTCGCGTAGAGAAATCTCCCGCAGAGCGAAGTCACGTACTAATTCGAGCGATCAATCTCCGCGACAATACTATCCATTATTTTCTTTGACTGAAGACATTGTCATACAATTACATTTCAGCCTATTTCTGATATTACTTTTCTTTACGATGAAATACGGGATTTATGACTAACTAGCTGTCGCCTGCGACATCGCCCGCGTGGAATTAATAAATAAATTAGTAGCCTATGAGTTCTTCTATACTGTTCTCCATCTGTGCCAAATTTTATCAAAATTCGTTGAGCCGTTCCAGACATACCTAGTAACAAGCATCCATCCGTCCAGCCATCTATCCATCTGGATGGATGGATAGATGGATGGAGATCTAAACATTCGGATATAAATTGAACAAACTCATTTTAACATGACATTTTATCAATTGCTGTCAGTTAAATATTTTCTGATTACCTATTTATTTTTAAATTAAATATTGCAATTAACTTTATATCGATAAAATAAATAAAAATAAAGATTTTTGTATTTCTACAAAATCATATGAAGGATGTAAAATTGTTTTATTTCTAAGAGGATTTCCAGGAACATTTATTGTACAGTGAATATGAAAGGTGGACAGGACGCCTCAAGAGAGACTAAAGCCAGTCCGATGAGAACGGAACCTAACAAATTTAAGAATAAAATTGCACCTTAAATTTTAGGATATAAATTTAGAACATTCACTTTTGCGTCAACATTATTAATAATGTTACTAATATTATAAATACGAATGTTTGGATGTATAAATGGATGGATATTTATTACAAGGTATCTCCAGAACGGTTACATAGATCTCGCTGAAATTTTGCATAGATGTACAGCATAGTCCGGCACAACACAAAGGCTATTAATTAAGGTTTTTATTTTTTTAAATTCCTAACAGACTAGACAGAAGCGTGTTCGACAGTTAGCAATAAATAACAATTTCAATTATTACAAATGCGAATGTTTATATGGATGGATGGATGGTTTGTTTGATGGTATCTCCAGAACGGATTAATGGATCTTGATGAAATTTGGCATACATGTAGAACATAGTCTGTAAGAACACATAGGCTACTTAATTTTTTTTTTCAATCCCGCATGAAGGGAGTCGAGTTCGACAGTTAGGAATAAATAACAATTTCATTTATAATCTGTGCACTAAAATATTTAATATCCAATATCCCTGTTTCGTGGAACGTTTCATGAAGTAATTATCGGTCCTAACGAATCAAGATAACTGACACAAAGTGAGGGCGCAATGGAGGGGTGAAGTGGACAGGGCGAGAGGAGTCAATTAAAAACTTTGAGATCGGATCGGGGTGATAACGACTTAATTACTACTACGTAAATGGATTATTTCGCTTGCTTCTTTTATTTTCTTATTTAATTTCAAGGTGATATTTTCAACTCTACAATTTTAATCCAGCTTTCGTGAAATATTAATTATTTTTATTATCTACTAGCTGTCGACCGCGATTCCGTCTACGCGAAAATAACAAAAAAAAATACTTAATAAGCCATGTTTTCTTCCAGACTATTTTCTACATCGAAGTACTAAATTTCTGCGAGATCCATGGAGCGATGCGAAACATGCATTCATGTAAAAATTCCCATTTATAATATTAGTAAGATTTACCAAATAATTGTTAATTTTTCGACACCATACGAGGAAACTTATTCATCGCGTTAGGTTCTTAAACATATTAACAGATTAAAAAAACATTATAAAAATTATACCTACTTAAATTGTAAGTATTGGCTCATATATAAATCTTGTATTTGCCTAAATAAAAAAAAACGGTAGGGAAGGAAAAAAGTATGTTTACATCTAGTTCCTAAATCAAGATTTTGAAACTGAAACCAAAATAAACCTTATTGTACACTCATAAGATTTGTTTTTATTTAATTGTTATCTTAATATTAATACAATGCCAGCCAGTTTTGGTAGACAAATAATTTAATGAATCTTGATTAAAAAAATCTTATAAGTCAATGCTTTGAAAGACAATTGGAACGTTTTAATAAATGTTACCTGATGGTTAATAAACTTTGAACATCTCCTATCAATACGTAGGAGTAAAATAATACTTTCCTATTGAAATTATTCTCAAAATACTAATATAGCTATGTTTTATGTAAATACAGTCACTCGCAAGTTTAAATAAAAAAAACAGATTTGATTAAAGTCAATACTAGGATTAAATATACAGAATCGTGGGAAGAAACTATATTGAAACGAAAGGTGCGTTTGCGCAGATCATATAGGCGATTTGTGTTGTCATCTAGTCAGTGTCATAACGATCGTTGACGGAGTTAGACGTGTTTTAGATTGTCAATATGTTTCTCCTTCGTTTACTTCTCGCTACAGTAATTTTATCTTGCGTTTATTGCAATTGGGGACCTTTCCGTGCTGTTTTATACTCTGATTGGATTAGTTGTAAGTAATTTTTTATTCACATTTTATTTTAAGGTCTAGAAATGCGTAGGTATAATAAAAATGACCTTTTAGATATTATTTACTTGTTTATGTTTTTAGGTTATGTCTTTTCACATGCTAAAGGTTATCGGTTATTTATTGACATTGATTTTAAATTATTCAAACTTTCGTTAGACATTATACTAAACTGATATATAAACGATGTGTGAGTGAGACGATATGTGAGCGACGGGCCGCGTCCGCGAAATAACACCACTCATCCTGATGAAGGGCCCCCGATGGGCTCGAAACTAGTCGGTGCCGACACCGAACGAATATACGTGAGTGTTTAGCCGTGTTTATATATCAGTTTTGACATTGATTTTGTTAAACAAGACATTTTATAAGTATCATATTATATTTCCTTTAGAAGGAAGAGGCCTTTGTCAACATGGGACAAACAGATATAAACTTATTATAAATACTTACTTAACTTAAACTTTAAGTAATATAATGTAATTTAATCAAATGTATATGAATAAAGGCTTATTATTATTATTATTATTATATTATATTTCCTAAAATATATATTGTTTTCTCTTTATTTTTTAGGGACTTTTGTTCTTTTGAACATGTCAGTCCCATAATCAACAAACACATAATCAATTAACTTAGGAGCTAATTATAAAAATACAGTAAACTATACAAGCAAGCGATATAAAATTAAAAAAAAAGCAATGATAAAATAAGAATATATAACAAACAAAAATATTAACACTTAATTAATATCTATAAAGCCTTTAGCAACATATTTCGAACGTCGTCTGCTTTCCTAAAATATGAAAACCATAGTTTTTAAATACGTATAAGT